ATAGGTCGGGCGGATAGTACCAACGTCGAGGTTTCTGGGGCTGTCATCATAATAAGTCTTGAATAATTAGCAAATGTACACTTATTTGCAAACTAATCTGGTTTTTCGAGAGACTCACCTGGAACCCAGCTGAATCTCCCGTTTGTGATGTTTTCAGGCGACTGAATGTGCTGTACCAGGCCGCCTCATATTTCAGTCGCTGCGATATTCGAGGTATCGCGATACATGTATATCTTTGCAACGTACTACTCATAAGGCTGCCGAAAAGCCGTCGACAGCCCACGACCGGTTTCGCCCTTTTTGGGGTTCATCAGGTAGGCAAACGAGTGTACATTCGCAAATTTCGTGCAATTTGTTTTCAAGTAGAACATAAGGTTGACGGAGACTCGGGGACTGCGCCTACCTGATGAGCCCCACCAAGGGCGAAACCGGTAGTGGGCTGTCGACGGATTTTCAGCAACCTTATGAGTAGTGCACTACAAAGATATACTTCACGTAACTTTTTGTTTGGTACAAAATCGGCACAGAATTCTTTTCGGACGGGATTCGTGTCAGCACGTCAGTTATTTCTAGGTGAACAAGCCCACAACTAGCTGGGAGAAAATGTGGACAAACTTGACCACTAGCACGTAACAAAGTGGGTCATACTGAACTCGACCCAGATGACGAGCTCTGTATCCTCAGTTTTGGCCTGAAAAGAAGGCTTCATATTCTATGTTTTCGTTTAATTATGCGAGCGCATTTTTGTGGAGATTTTGTCCTCTAAGTGAACAACAACCTATGTTGAAATTCGAGAAGCACCGCATAGCTGTTTCATCCCTATTGGGAATCATCAGCAGTGCGCAGCACACGAAACTCCGGAGAGTCTCGAACCCGCGACCCCCTGGCTAGTAGTTTGAACACAACCATTCGGCCACGAGCGGCTGATCAGCAGTTTGGATTAACTCGCACTTGGACAGGATATAGCGCCGCTCATCCTTCAACCNTCAACCAACCACTTACAGGGCGAAATCTCCACAAAAATCCCAAATATCCTCACACCACCTCCCTTAGACAGCCAAAGACATCGGCATGAATTAAGTATTTACTTGCGACTTGGCCATCGATCCAGTTGGTCATCAGACTACCTACCCCTGATTTCCAGCCGGATGTGTAGGAGCCATGGTAGCCTGAGCAAAACAAGAATGGAGTGGCGTCGTAAAATTGCAACAGTCTAGCCGTTCTGTCCCAAGAATTTCTGTCGCATCTCAGTTTTACGAGCATTTGTGGAGCGCATCAGATGTGGCTTAGTGGAGAGGACTTGAATAAGGTTGATGGGGGAAAACTCTTGAGATAAAGGAAGTCTCCACAGTAAGTGGTTCTTTTTAGTTCAGAGACTTTCCGTTGGTTGTGATTACCTTTTCTGCGGTAAATAACCGCCCACCCACCTTTATTTCTTTCACTGACGTGGACAGCAGTATTTTGTACCTCCACCGTCTCACACCCTTCAATCTTCAGGGGTGTGTGTGTGAAGACAGCCTTCACAATGCTTATTCGCATCGATTTTTCACACCTCTGTAATCGGCTTTCACATTTTTAAAAATAATTTTTCAGCGCGCAGTTTCTGCTCTTCTATTTGACTACGTCTAGGCATTAGATGAAGATGTCCCTTTTCTAGGTCAATTCTCTTCGTTTATATCCGTCCCCTGTGGACGGGTCAATCGAAGCCATAGACTAACCAAGAAGGGCGAAAACGGTCGTGCTCTGTCGACGAATTTTCAGCAACCTTATGAGTAGTGCTTTACAGATACGCATATGTGGCGACATCTCGAATATAGTAGCGACTGAAACATGAGGCGGCCTGGTGCAGCGCATTCATTTACCTGGAAACATCGCAAACAAGAGAGGGACCCAGTTGCGTTCGAGGTGAGTTTCCCGAAAAACCAAATTAGTTTTCAAATGGGTGTATCATGCTAGTTTCGTGCAATTTGGTTTCAAGTAGAACATAAGTTTGACGGAAACCCGGGGACTGCGCCTACCTGATGAGCCACAAGATGGACGAAACCGGTCGTGGGCTGTCGACGAGTTTCCAGCAACCTTATGACTAGTGCGTTACAAATAACCATATACCTGTTCCTTGTCAGCATCCTCAAAAAAGGCGATGAAAAACTCTACGGAAGCCCAGCGCACGTAGTCTTGTTGTGTGATTGCTTCTCCTGTAGTTAGAAATCTTCAAGTTCACAGTTGAAGTCCCTACTCAATGTTATGGCACGTCATCACCTGTGAAAAAGATTCACACCTGAAGAAGTTCCCCTCAAAGATGTCAGACGAGAACTTATACGAAGGTGTGATATTCCATCAGTGCAGAAAAATGCAAAAAGGACCTCTTGGAGCTTTGTCATCTTCAAACTGAAGTCATGCAAGCTCCTCTCTCTTGATTTCAAACAAAAAACTGCTATTGTTTGTTGTTTGTATCCGTCTATTCTGTTTGTGTATTGATGAAATGTACTTATGCTTTGTTTGTGAAATTTCCAACTCGATTTTTGTGGCAACCAACCTGATCTACCCAACCCGCAACGGCGTTTGTCATTTTAGAATAAATTCCAACAAGGTCTTGCGGCCAATTCCTTCGAGTTGAATTCAATCAACCATCCCGCACTGATTGAGAACCCACACACGATCCTCAAAACAAGATCGACTGACTCTGCCAAGGAAATTCTATTGTCTGTCCCGGGGAGATTAGCACCACTGACCAAACGCAGATCTACCCCTGGTGAAGAACTTCCACTAGACTCAAGAATACGCCGTGTATCCATGATCCTCATGAGTCGTCACACGCTACCCTACACAGACAGCCGAATTCAGATTGTGGAGCCGAAATCGAGCATGGGGAGTGGGAACAGGTGAGTGATCTAATGGTACCTTGTGAATTTCATCACCCATTGTGGGCAACGCTTTGCGGTGAGGCAGAGACCGGTTCAGCTGATCTGTAGTCAGTTGGTTGCGAAAATTTCTAAAGTCCATGAGTCCGGTTAAGGAACAAAATGAGGGGACTTAAATTGAGGCGGATATAAAATCAACCTAGCCAGTTTATTCCATAGAATCACGCCTTTGGTGTTTGAAAGCCAACCTCTGTGCTTCCTCCAAAATCATATTGAATATTTTATCGATCCAGGTGTGAAGCTATTCCATCCAAACGTGTAAAATGTTCATTTATCAATTTATTCACTATAACAAGAAAGCGTTGGTTGCGAAATAACCATTGGCTTGTTTTCTTTCATTCGCGGGTTCGAAGCATGCAATATGTACGGGACAGGCATATAGCACCAAACAGTGGGAAAATCTACGCTGTTTTACAAGAATTGGGTACAATCTATCCGTCCCAGGTTAGAAGTGACCTTCCGGCCATACTTTTTGGCGCTTATGAGGTCTACTTGGTGTCGGTCGATACGGCCCAACCAACTACCATCAATCGTGGGTTCTAAATGCGCGATAAGAGCTGGAAGGGGCACTGTGGACCATACGGATGACGTGTCACAACCAGATGCCAAGAGCTCGATGAATTTGGAATCCACACGGTGCTTAATTGTGCCTGGCAAGAAATCTATCCTGCCCAAGACTCCAGCCAACCAAAAAGGAGATCCTGCTACAGGCAGGTTGGCCGAGTTCGTACACGTTGGTACGCGTATCATACACCAGTTCATCCGCCCCTACGGTGACGTTTATACTGTAAGAAAGGACTAGAGTTCCTGACAAACCGCAACAAAGTATTTCCGACATTCAAGGTACAGAACAGCCGGATACAACCATACATTTCGACCGAAGTTCATAAAATGTCCGAAAACTTACTGGGATCTGTTTACTCCCTGAGGCTTATTCTCGTTCATACTCTGCATTTCGAACCTAAGAATTGATTGAATGATGCTGATGAACACTTATCAATACTGGTCAAGTAGAACATAAGGTTGACGGAAACTCGGTGTCTGCGACTACCTCGGAAACTCGGGGTCTGCGACTACCTGATGCGCCCCGAGAAGGGCCGAACCGGTCGTGGGCTGTCGGCTCGTTTTCAGCAACCTTATGAGTAGCACATTATAAAGATATACATGTATCACGATATCTCGAAAATCGTAGCGACTGAAACATGAAACGGCCTGGTGCAGCACATTCAGTTGCCTGGAAATATCACAAACGAGAGATTCAGCTGGGTTCCAGGTGAGTCTCTCGAAAAACCAAATTGGTTCGCAAATGATTGTATTTCACTGATTTCGTGCAATTTGGTTTCAAATAGAACATAAGGTTGACGGAGACTCGGGGAGTGCGCCTACCTGATGAGCCCGATGAAGAAGGTCGTAACCGGTCATGGGATGTCGACTCGTTTTCAGCAACCTAATGAGTAGTGCATTGCAAAGATCAACACTTGATTTTTTCGGGCAAGAGATTCCGACCGTGTTAAAACTAAAAGTGACTTTGCTCCTGGAAAACTTGGAAAGCAGCATATGGTTTTTATCGGTGCTTGGAGTTGAATGTCTATCTCATGCGTTGCGTCCGCGAGTGGTGAAAGCAAGTGGAAAGTTGGTATTTAGCGACTTTCTCAGTTCTATGTCCTGCCGAACTGAGGTGACGGGAATCACATTGATCCTAGTATTCACTGGTAATCGGTCCTATGTCACCTTCTACCAGGTTGTCGGAAGTATCCAATTTGGACAATGCAGAGACTAATCGGAGACTCACGCAGAGAAGGAGACGTTAGTGAAATCAGAAAGAAATCATAAAAATAGTCCGTTTACGTTGGAATTCTACCAACAGTTGCTGACAGTCTTTGTATCCAGGTATATATTACAAAGTAGTTGAATTAGAAATGAAAAAAAATTGTAGACAGACCAGGTGCTGCAAATTTGTCATCATCATGAACAACTGACGTTCCACTTCGGTTTATTCAGTTATAAACAATAGAAAAGATTTGGGGAGTGAGGGATCCGGTACTGTTGCATGCATTCTGAGGTGTCCACATCGCGGGCTTTCAACTAGATAAGCTGGAATGAAAATGATGGCGCAAACGCCACTGACATGCGGCAGCCGTCATCTGTTGGGTTGTCTCGGGTCAAGCTCAGGGGGTCAGTTGGACCTCACCCTGGAAGGCGAACCGCACCAACCACAACTAAACTCTTCTTTATCTCTTTCGCACCCTTCCTCCTAGTCATACGTTGTGTCCACCTCGCGTTTTCGCCATGATGAAGGAGGCAGGGAGAACAACATTAGTTTTGCTAGAGGATGTTTCTGCATGCCTGACACACGGCTGAGCCATGGTGATGGTGCTGGATGTTCTCCGCGAATGAATTACAAACGGCACAAAGAAATACCCGTTATCTAATTGCCTCGTCACGAATTCATGGATGCTATTCAACACCAGGAACCTTTCTGAGGCACCGGTGATAAAAAAGCGTTACAGCGTCTATTCGAAGTGTCTGTGTCTCAAAATCATGCAACAATATGGCCCTTACAGTTGCTTGGTACTCAAGGCCCCAAGGGTATGCCTTTCTGATACACCACATACTGCAAGTTAGCCAACGTGAGTCGGACCTTTGAAGTTCATACACATTGCCATCACAACTAATACATCTACAGAGGTATGAATAATCCTCCATACCTTGCAACAGCGTAACAGTCAAGCAAAAAACGCCCAACGTTCCAGTGGCCATCTCGTAAACTGACTTCACCTAAAGCAAAGTGATTTCCCCGGAGTATGTGCGAATAATAGCACGGCTGTATGGCACGCTGCGCCTTGACTGGACGTTGCCATAAGAACTGGCTCCAGTCGCCAGGTCACTAGTCACCAGTGGCTGGAAGATTCTATGCAGCATCCTTCCACAGACCACCGGCTTCTTGGTATGAAGAATCCGCACAAAGATCACACACCTCTACTGGGCTGGAAACTATGAATCTTTCGCTTCATTCAAAAGTTGAGCATAACCCAGAACCACTGACGTCGTTAAAATCCTGTTGAGAGTAGAACAAAGTTATCCAGCTATCAGTATTCAAAAGAGTCAACAACCTGGCTTCAGTGTCTTTTTTTTGTCCATCTGAAGCATACATTATGACGAAGCTTAGCTAGGTTCTAATCAGACAGGATGAATTCGGGATGAACAGCCAAGTAGACAATTTCAAACAAAAACTGAGACAAATCAATCATCCTCCAGCGAAAAAGTCGCGCCTTACCCAATGATGAACTTACCAAGTGTACTATTGTTAGACTATTTCCAATTCTGCCAGAAATTCGTCTACAGTTTATTGATTTCCTACTCGAAATACGCTAAATCGAATGGAAAGTGGATGTTCCAAGTTGTCAGTTGCTGTCGAGTTTGTTACACCACACGTGAAGGTCGTGCGGAGATCACTCAGATTTGGATGTCCAGAGTTTTTGTTGTGTGCTTGAAGGTGGGTCTCATTCCCAATTATTGTTCGGAACCAGGCCAAATTCCCGTGGGTCCAACTGATTTCTGGCTCTAACAAATTGGCCACAATTCAAAAAATGCCAGTTGAACATTGCTGATTTGAGTAGATAATAGAAAGAAGGTGTTTCAAGCCAAAACTATTTGCATCATTGGTTGTTGATGATGGCATTCTCAACTGACTTACGAAAAAAACAAGTCAAGACGCCAAATAGCGAATTGATCAAAGTTTGTTACCGAGAGACTCTGATGCGAATGCATGCTGATCATCACTCTTTGTAAATCAAAGTCTTGGTGGCAAAATACCCTCAGGCTGACAGACAAACCCACAAAAAAATTCAATCTACGGTTAACTTGTCACCTGACTCTTCACTTATCTGTTATTTGATCGTCAGAATGACTAAAGTGTCCGGGCAGTACTCAAAAACGCGTGGAACTGTAGCATTCGACACTGAATTTTATTGGCTATCATGAGGGAAGACGGCTAGATACAATGGCGGGATATTGTGTTAGCTCAGACAATTTTGCCCACACGGGCACTCAGTATTCGCACAATGAAATGGAATTTTCGAATTTATGACGTATCCGTGATGGACTAAAGCTATCGGGCAACTCAGTTCAGAGTACCACTCCAAAAACTTTTGAGCCCCATTTAGGCATCCTGGGGTCTCAGCGATGTTGGGAAATTATCCCTTAAAACTTTTCAGACACAGGCTTAGTTGCTTCAGTGAACAATGAAATTTAGTGAGCTGCAAAAACATGAACGTGGATTAGGATGGTTTTTTTGGTCTGAGCACATACGCAACAAAATTCAACATTTTTGCGCAGAAAGTTTTACTCCATTTATAAAGGTTTTGAAGCTGAGAGCATTGTGCGGATAATGGGCACGTCATTTGTTCCGGTGGGTTTCAACCGACCGTACACTGATGATTTTTCTCCTTACCGTGAAGAGATGTTTGCGGGTCGTTCCAGATTGGTTCACTGCTTGACTTTGCAGCTTTGATGAGATTCTGCGAGAGCTGTGTAGGGGAAAGTTGAAAACGACTCACGTTTTGGAATAATTGTGAATTTGTGTACTGAGTGTGCGAAAGTCTGATCGTTCCCCCGGTGGACTTATTGGACCATTCAGGATACTTCCCATCAATGGACAAAGGCATTGGTCCCGTGTTCCTCTCCCATTCATATGGCTGACCATTTAGGGATTTTAACTTTGGCCAACTTAGATGCGAGACAAGCACGAAAGTACAAACGTTTACGATTAGCAAACCTCAGTCATCACGTCCGAACGTCAGTGAAACTTGCTCTACACCAGAAATGCGCAGTTGGTTTGCCGGACATATAACGAAAGGTCTCGGATGTGCGGTAGCCTGCAACCTACTGGGAGCTTTTTTCGGTCATTTCCGATCGATCCATTCTAGTTTGAGTATACAGAACCTCTCACTCACTCACTACTGCATTGAGACACAAATATTTCTGAGAATGATAGGAGGTTTTTAATGCTAGACACGTACAAGCAAGATAAAGAATAAATCGATTTGATGAGCAGATAGGGAACTTGGAAAGTCATGGATTAGCCAGCGTGTATGAAGCCAGGAAATTATATATTGAATTGGTTACATTGAATATGGTGTTAGTGTGAGGGGGTATGGGGATATTCAGCGGAGAGTTTCTGCTGTCAGTGAAACCAATCTGTGCTGACCACGAGAGGCTGATCATCAGTGTGATTAACTTCAATCACGTGATCAGGCGGTGACCAAATCAGATGATCACTCTCCTCGAATGAACAGTGCCGATGCGTGGATAGTTGGTGCTATATCCTCTATGACTGCTGATCATCCATTCGTAGCAGAAAGACAAAGTATTCAAACTGCCAGCCGGGAGGTCGCGGAATCGAAGCTCCCTACTGGAACTCCGTGAGGTGCGCACTGTTTGCAATTCCCAATGGGGATGACGGGGCTGCGGATACATCGGTTAGCTTCAACTACAGAACGAAATCTCCACTAAAACTAAAAGTTTCTCAAATTGGAGTCTTTCCAACAAATCTCATCAGAGGTGCGAACAATTCGTGGAATGATGGTGAATTTGAGAAGCAACCAAAGGTGGGAAATAAATTCAGACATACTCAAGACACTGCAGTTGTTTGAAAAAAACCTTTTCATCGTATTCCGATCAATGAATGTGGGATAATTTGAGGGGAAATTACTGCATAACGGGATCATTCTAGTTCGTCTCGAAGGTACGCGTTCCACTCAGGAGGCACTCTGTCATTCGTTGCGTTATTCACTTAATCGGCTTTCTCCATGACTATCCACATATTTTCGACGGTAGTTCACGATTATAAAGATCATTTTTAACCATTTTGGCGATAAGGAAAGGAGTGAGTCCGGGAAGGGGAAAAATAGAAAGCAATTTCTGTAGGACAATAAGACGAGAGGATCACGGCAAAGGTACCGGGCTCACAGAGCGTGTGCTGTTGATGATGAGAACTACAGCGAACCAGAAAGGGTCAAACTGGACCTTTGCGTTATGATCCTTCCGAGACTAAACTTGATGTCATAACTCACCAGTTTCTAGGCTCGAATCTGCTTGCACACTTAAGCAAAGTTACGATAGGATAGATGTTTGGCTATTGAATTCTGGATGTTCCTTCGAAAAACGTAACAGAGGACCCGAGTGGTTTTTACCACAAGCATAAAGGCTATGGCGGGATACAATACCGTGAGAAATTACTTTGTAAGCTAGCAGTCCGCACATATCAGTATAAAAAGACAGCGAATACCTTGCTGCGGACAGCAGAGTGAATGAGTTGTTTGAGAGAATGACACGTGGCTTCCCAGATTAGTTCGTTCGCTCTCGCCAAATGATCACCGATTCGTCCAGCCGGCAGTGTCGGCATAAATCCATCTTCGAACATTGTATTCTGAAGCTAGAAGTTTTTACTGAATCACGAGACTCATGTCAGTGGGTTGCTGGTTGAATAGTTCGTTAAACCTGGCATACTCACTCATGGCACACCCGTGTTTGGCAACGTACTGGATCGGCCACAAGTCTGTAAAATAAAACGACACTCCGGCGAAATAACTGAGTTTATGGCATGTTTATCTGCTCATCACAATCGACAGAGAAATTAGGTTCGGAAATTTATAGATAAAGTCGAGGCCGTTGAGTGGACCAATGAAGGGTGTGGAACAAGGTCGCCGATAGAAGGGCGGCGAGGCTAGACTAAGGAAACAGTGCAAGGATAGACAGAGGTCGCGTAAGACAGGCCATCCAGTTTACTTTGGATTTGTCAAATTATCCGTTTGCGACGAATGCGTAGCGCAACTGAGGGTAAGGCTGGCGATGGTAGACTGTAAGGCGCGAAGTGTTTTTTATGGACGTTTGTGTTCCTCCGAACACAACCCCCCAACAGCTTATTCCCTCCTCGAAGACGAGTGACCCCCGAATTTCGAGCCAAATGGCCACTCTCCAAGAGGATATCCATCAATGAGTGAATAATAAATTCATGTTGTCGGTTAACTTGGCTTTTCTTCCGAAATGTTAGAAAGGTTGGTGGAACCTTTTTTCACTTGAACCTGCTTCGAATTGTACGAATATTCCGTTAATCAAGAAAATCTATTTTTCTAAAATCAGTCTCAAGGACGATACTGCCTTGAATCCCGCTCTGAGTACCTCATCCCGTGGATGGAAATACAACGGAGTTGTAAGACAAGATACAGACAACTGGTCGTTGCTCTCCGCGCCCAAAGGAGAGTCACCCACATCGCTGCCAAAACGATCCCCAGAGGTTACCTTTCCCCAAATGGCTTCACTTGACAGTTGTGCAGGAAGGCGTGAAATCACTCTCCGAAAGAATAAGAAGGCCCGAAGACCCACAGATCGTTTCTCCAAAGGAATTGGCTATCATCTGGGAAGAAGAAGGCATTTACTGGAACGGCGTCGTCGGATGGCTGACTTTGCCTTGGCATTTGGTATTTTTGGCATACTTGCCGCTCTGTTGGACACAGAGTCCATTGCATGTGGATGGTATAAACAGGTAAGGAAAGTAGACGGATTTGTTTGATAAGTTTTATTGGTACCTCTTTCGGTTTTTGAATTTTTTTTGGGTCACAATCCAGGTATATCATCACGTGACGCGTATCGTTCGATAGGGAGGAGAGGTTAGACTGTAAGTACGAACTCTCCGATCGCATAAAGGACTGACCCTTACAACACGTCAACATGGTTTGAAGATGTACACCCATCCGAAAATTAAGATGGTGTTAACCAGATTTTCAG